TGTGTGTGTGTGTGTGTGTGTGTGTGTGTGTGTATGTATGTATGTATGTATGTATGTATGTATGTATGTATGTATGTATGTATGTATGTACGGTATGTAATGGGCACATTTTTGAAAACCTTTTTTTTAAAGTCAAACCCATCGTTTGATTAACACAAACTCCGTTCTTTGACAAAGGATAAAATCAAATATGCAAATCTGCTGGTTGGTCATGTGCTTCTCTTTTAGCCCCTCCCCGTCCTCATGGCACCCCCTCAAGTGGCTCACGGATCTGAAATAATGGCTTTCAGCCCTATTGAAATCACCCATCCTTCTCTGAGTATGCCATAAAGAGACATGTAAGGTCTTAATTGCTTCAGAGTCACTGGTTAATTATTATTTCCTGTATTGTTATTGCATTTGCTTTTGTGTGGTTGTTTTGTTTATTGTTTGTTGGCGGCATAGTTTGTTATTGTTATTAAAAAATAACAACAACCCTGGTCATAAAAAAGAAAAATCCTTTGTTTACAGAAAAGGGACCACCATGGAAAATGAATGCATTGATAAAGCATATCAATATAATATAAGCATATTCATTTAATATTATTGGTTACTTGGAAGTAAACTTGGTAGTGGACAACAACCTGGATGTCATAGATTTTTTTCCCACCCTGAGGAATGAGTCAACCCCTATTCGAGTTTTATTTGCAAACTCGCATGTTGCCTGTGCTTTCAGTGGTTCAAGGGACCTTTCTGGGCTGAGCTGACTGTCAATCTATCCAGCAGTAACCAATAGTTCTTTCCCACCTCTGAAGTGAACGAGACCCGCCTCTCCGCTGAGCGTTTCCTTTCCCTCTCTTTAGTCTGTTGGAAGCAGTGGTTTTGTTTGCTGTGGATCTGTTCACATCAATGAAACATTTTTTTTATTCTTTCTCCTACACATTCAGAGTGAGTTACTGAGTGTAAGTGCCAATAAATAAGAACTGGTAACTATTCTTCTGTGTGAGTCGCTGTACTTCTCCCGTGTATGTGTGTGTGTGTGTGTGTGTGTGTGGGGGGGAATCACCAGAAATCAAACACTGCAACAACCCGCACCCTTTCAGAAACAGAACAAGCAACACAATGCAAGACAATTTAGAGTTTACTGCAGGACTTTGACGGAATTAGATGTCAAAGGAACTTCAGCTTAAAACATTGGAGGTGTAGCCACTTGGGGAAAATATGTAAAAGAGGGAGAAACATAGATGGCAACCAGCTAGATGCTTGAGCTTCATGGAGATGATTTACTCACCTCCTGGTGAGTAAATGTTGACTGGATCTTGATAGGGCCTAGGGTGAAGTATGTCAGGAGAAGCAGGTTTCACATTAGTAGCAAAAGGACCGGTCTGAGGTAAGTACGTATCAGCCAAACCAGGACCGTATCTGAGACAAGCACAAACCAGATCAAGCATGCGGAACATTTTTCAACACCAGGACCAAATCAAGTTCCAGATATGTTCTTGGATATGAGATCTGCACTTCAGCCATGAAGTCGCCATTTGGGCATCCCCTCCCATCCCTTTCACCCTGCGCCACAAACGACATCCCCTCGAAACATGAGGAGAACCGTTCTCCCTCCTCTACCCTAGAAAAAGGCTGTGTGTGTGTCTGTGTCTGTGTGTCTCTCTGTGTGTAAAATCACCAGAAACCAAACACTGCAACAACCCGCACCCTTTCAGAAACAGAACAAGCAACACAATGCAAGACAATTTAGAGTTTACTGCAGGACTTTGATGGAGTTAGATGTCAAAGGAACTACAGCTTAAGACATTGGGGGTGTAGCCACTCGGGGAAAATATGTAAAAGAGGGAGAAACATAGATGGCAACCAGCTAGATGCTTGAGCTTCATGGAGATGATTTACTCACCTCCTGGTGAGTAAATGTTGACTGGATCTTGATAGGGCCTAGGGTGAAGTATGTCAGGAGAAGCAGGTTTCACATTAGTAGCAAAAGGACCGGTCTGAGGTAAGTACGTATCAGCCAAACCAGGACCGTATCTGAGACAAGCACAAACCAGATCAAGCATGCGGAACATTTTTCAACACCAGGACCAAATCAAGTTCCAGATATGTTCTTGGATATGAGATCTGCACTTCAGCCATGAAGTCGCCATTTGGGCATCCCCTCCCATCCCTTTCACCCTGCGCCACAAACGACATCCCCTCGAAACATGAGGAGAACCGTTCTCCCTCCTCTACCCTAGAAAAAGGCAAAAAATTTTGCTTTCATGACAAACAAAACAAAATAACGGGGGGGGGGCGTGAGCAGGGCTAGAAGGCACTGCTCTGCATTTTCCTAACATCCACCGTTAAATTCTCCTCTACATCTGGGTGCCCCAGTGGCAACCCTGCATTCCAGTAGCGGGTAGTGCCCAAGGCGAAAAGGTAGAACCTGGTTATAGGTTTAATCTGCTCCTTGCCTGAGGAAGCCGGTCGACCCTTCACAATGAGGGAAAAGTCATGGGAAACTCCGGAAACCCTGAGATAATAGCATGACAGGGAAGCAAATTTGGTCTTCACTGGAGAGAGAGCCAGATTTGGCACGGCGGCAAGGTCTAACTCTCCTGCTGCATTTCCTCCTTCCGTCTATTTTTGGGGGGCGAGGTGTCTGAATTTTCAGCTGCCTGGTCTCCGGGGTGGACTAGAAAGCCCCCCTCTCTTTGAGCCGTCCACGAACTTTAGCTTCCTCACAAGGAGACCACAGGGAAGGGTTTCAAACGCTGAGACAAGCACAAACCAGATCAAGCATGGGGAACATTTTTCAACACCAGGACTAAACCAAGTGCCAGATATGTTCTTGGGTATGGGATCTGCACTTCAGCTATGAAGTCGCCATTTGGGCACCCCCTCCCACCCCTTTTGCCCTGAGCCACAAGCAGCATCCCCTCAAAAAAATAAGGAGAACCATTTCCTAACATCCACCATTAAATTCACGTCTACATCTGGGTGCCCCGGTGGCAGCCCTGCATTCCAGTAGCGGGTAGTGCCCAAGGCGAAAAGGTAGAACCTGGTTATAGGTTTAATCTGCTCCTTGCCTGAGGAAGCCGGTCGACCCTTCACAATGAGGGAAAAGTCATGGGAAACTCCGGAAACCCTGAGATAATAGCATGACAGGGAAGCAAATTTGGTCTTCACTGGAGAGAGAGCCAGATTTGGCACGGCGGCAAGGTCTAACTCTCCTGCTGCATTTCCTCCTTCCGTCTATTTTTGGGGGGCGAGGTGTCTGAATTTTCAGCTGCCTGGTCTCCGGGGTGGACTAGAAAGCCCCCCTCTCTTTGAGCCGTCCACGAACTTTAGCTTCCTCACAAGGAGACCACAGGGAAGGGTTTCAAACGACCTCCTGTCTCTTACGTGGAAATATAAGCAAGGAAGTGAGGTGTGATCCTGAGAAGCCGACTTGTTCAAAAATCGAGCTCCCAAGTTTCCGCCTCAACAGATGGACTTGGGACCATCGGCATTGGAAAAGCACATGTTCTACATCTGAGCTAAAACCCTCCCTCTATCATCCCCCCCACAGCCCCCCCCGTCCTACCACTGACCCTACTTACCTCAACAGAATGTCTTTGGACAGGTGAATTGAACCTTGTAGTCACGACACGGTTCGTTGCTGGGGGTCTGCTGTTCGTTAACGCAAGCAAACCCTTTGAGGGGATCGAACCTGTGCGTGTAGAGGCAGGGTGTGAGGTGCCATTTGTTCATCACAAACAAACAATGGAAGAACACAGGACACTGCCTTATCCTAGCGAAAGGACCTGCCCCCAGTCTAACTCCATGGTGTTCATACCAACTGGCCACTGCTTTTCCTTTGGGTCTCCTTGCTTGGAATCAAACCCTTCTCTCTGCAAACCAGATGCTCTATCCATGAGCGATGGACGCTCCTAATAAGTATGGAAGGCTTCCCTTTTTTTAAAAAGTCCGCAGACCATTATGCCATCGACTCTCTGGCTCCTTGGGTAGCCCTGCCTGAAGATGATGGAGATCAAACGTGCAAATTGTGCACTATGTGATCATTACTGCTACACCTCTTCCAGGTTGAACATCTTCCCTGCAGGAAGGAAAGGAAGCCATTTTCTGGCAGACAGGAAAGGGGAAACCTCAAAGACATCATCCATCACAGGGTGGAAGGGGGAGCTGTAGACCCACTCCAGCCACTGGGGACCTCCCATGTTTGAAGCCAAGAGCATTCTTGGTATCCCTACTCAATTCATTTGCTTCTGTAGACCCGGTTCCAAAGCTTTTACAAGGAAGCTGCAGACAATGTCTGTTGTCTACATGTGCCATCAAGTTGCTTTACAGTGACTAACAGTGCTTTTGAAGGACATGAGATGTTCAAGGAATACCGTTGCCATTTCTCCTAATGACCCTTTTTATGACCAAGTGTAGATTTGAACCCAAGTCATCTGAGTCCTGGTCTGATCCTCCACCCATTACACCATGCTGGCTCTCAACAGCTCCATTAGTCTCATTTCTTTCATTATTACCAGGCCACTCCCAAGTTTTCAGACAAATCTACTGTAGAAAAAGGTGTGCCCGTTGTAAAGAAGGCTTAGAGCAACCTTGGGTCCCTTGATGTTCTTGGACTACAACTCCCAGAAATCCTGGCCAGCCCAGTTGGTGGTGAAGGCTTCTGGGAGTTTTAGTCTAAGAACATGTTGTCTCCACTGGATGAGAGGGATGGTGCCTAGAAGACCCTCTCTTAGCCCCAGAGGACCCCAGAGACCTGCTGCTGGTCAGGTTAGTCAAGACCAGCCTAGATGGGCAACCAGGGAGATGAGAACCCAGCCAGATCTGAGGAATAGCCAATCCAGCATCCTTTTCCCTCCTTTTCCCTCCAAGCAGATGTCTCTGGAAAGCCTGCAGGCATGGCATGAGCGCTATAGCACTCCAGGGATGGAATTTTCATTGCTGTTGTTTTTTTAAAACCCAACTCGCAGAATTCTTGAAGAATTCCGTAAGCAGAATTCCGAGAGGTGAAGCCCAGAAGCACAGGCCTACACACCAGTTGTATTTACCTCTCTCGGTGCCTTCATTGGTCCTTTTCTACTTTCAAAATCCAGGAGGCACCCGTCCAGTGGCACCTGGGGAGTCATAGATGCCCTTTGTAGCGCCTAATGGGCAGGGATACTACAACTCCCAGGAAGACCTTTTGACTCCCAGGTGGCAGCAGAACAGCTTCTTGGATTCTGAAAGTGAAAACAGACCAAAGAAAGGCACTGATGGAAGCAAATACAGCTGGTCTGTGGATGGTTTCTGGGCTCCTAGAATTCTGTGTGAGAATTCCGACTTGAGGATGCCAACAATCAACACCGGGAAATAGCTGGGAACGAGGAGAGGGATGCCCGGGCTTCCGGGCAACACTCACGTTTCCCAGAGCGATAAACTTTGGAGATCACTTTCCCCACCACAAGAAGGAAATTACATGTGACTCAACCAAGACTCAGCCGAGAAATGTCGAGAGGCCTCCCCTAGTTCTGCTTTCCAAAATGTGACTACCTCGACCGTGTCACAGTTCACGTAGCCAAATACAGTACTGTGGTGCCTTGCTGGATAGTTACCTCGCATGACAGTTTTTTCGCTAGACATTGACTTTTTGCGATCGCTATAGCGATTCGCAAAACAGTGATTCCTATGGGGGAATTTCACTGGACAATGTTTGGTCCCTGCTTCGCAAACCAATTTTCGCTAGACAACGATTTTGACAGCTCCCTCCGTGCTTGCAAAATGGGTGTTTTCGGGACCTAAGCTTTGCAAGACAGCGATTTAAACAGCTGATCGGCGGTTTGCAAAGTGGCTTTCCTATGGCCCATCTTCACTAGACAACGACGATTCTTCCCTATTGGAATGCATTAAACAGGTTTCAATGCATTCCAATGGGGAAATGCTTTTCGCTAGACGATGATTTCGCTAAACAGCGATTTCAGTGGAACGGATTATCATCATCTAGCGAGGCACCACTGTACACCCACTATCTAGAACACAGCAGAGCAGGCAGGCTTGGATCACTGTTATTATTTACTAGAACCCTAAGATCTCTCCACCGAGGATGAGTGCAACCACAGTTGGAGAATTCTGAGCCCAAGAATTCGTAGTATCGGTAAGGTTCTTCTCCATGGGCTTGGAACCAAGCTCCTATGAACATTGCGATCCTACTGAATATATTTTTGGTGGTCCAATAAAGACGACATCACAGGGTTGTTGTTTTTTGAGAGAGAGAGAGAGACAGAAACTGAGGGGAAGACGGCCTGCTGAGTTCATTAGGAAGTTCAAGTCTATCACCAGAAAATCTTATCGTACTCAACATGATGTGTTACTTAAATTACACCACGCTGGGACCTTTGTGTTTTCATCAGTGGTAGTTTTGTGACTGAGCGGTGTTAATCATTTGCTAGCCCACCTTATCTGGAACCTCAAAGATTAACAGGCATTACCCTTTGCTTTATTCGATGAAACACAGACTGCTTCATCGGATGTGTGTTAGTAATCTAGCTATCACAATGTAAACTTTCAAGGTTGAACGTCCTATTGACTTTGCTGTCTACAACCACTCCTTCTACCACGTAGCTGCCACCGGCAGTTTTGCGTTGAGAGAGGGAGAGGCTGTGTTGCCAAAAAGGTAGAGGAACTGCTCCAGGAATCAGGTTCATATTATTTTTCCCTTGACTACACTACATTGCAAATCAATGCAGATTAACCTGGTCTTTTCCCACTCAGCCCTGGAACAAAGTTGAACTAGAGCATTTAGAAGACCAATTTAAAAGGAGGAGGGAGGAAAAGGGAGGAAATTGCCCATCAGTACTTGTTTGCAGCTTGTTAGGGCACCTTTTAATGTACCTGGACATCTGCCCCTGCTGACTCTTGCAAATCTGGACAGCTACAGCTGATGTTCCCTTAACAAGCTGCAAACAAGTGTGGATTGGCAGTTTCCTCCTCTCTCTGTGTGTTGATTCCTATCTGGCCAGCTAAACTGACTTCAACCACGAAAAAACAATTTCCACTGGTGCAAATCACAGCGATCAATCCATATTTTTTCCTGCAGTCACACCCTGACATGGCTGTATCTATTGTCCTGAAATGATCAGTGACTTCTTTCTTCTCCAGGCAAGGCCAGGCTCTACCTCCATTCCCTGTACCTCTGGAAGAAAGTTACTGGCTAGAACCTCCACTCCTCCTTCTTTTCTGGCTTCCTCCTGCTGAAACAGGCCATTGTGAATTTTCACCCTCTGAAGAAGACTCAGCCATGCAGGGCCTTAGACTTTTCCAGAGACAGGGAAAGATAAATCAACCCTCCTGCTTGAGGGGAAACGTGCTACCTAAAGCTCATGCAGCAAGCTTGCAGTTTCCATCTGGAATCATTTAGGTCAGATCCTGACACTGCAACCATTAATGTAATTAATTAACTGCCCAGATACAGTAGACCTTTGGTCTAGATACATGCATGCATGCATGCATGCATACATACATACATACATACATACATACATACATACATACATACATACATACATACATACATACATACATACATACATACATACATACATACATACTTTACTGGACATTTCTGCTCCACTTCTGTCCCATTATACATACATACATACATACTTACTTACTTTACTGGACATTTCTGCTTCACTTCTGTCCCATCCCGAACCCCCATTTTCTGTAGTGCTCGGTCTGAAAAAGTGTATTTTCTGAACCCAGATGATTTCATGGTTGTAATACTTTAGTGGCCATGAAGTTGGATGGCTCCAACTTTGAGGTGGGGGAAGCAGTGGCAGTTTGAGTTATCCAATGTGGGGAACATTGGGGGGACAGATTTCAGTACCCTGGATAAATGCCATAAAGTTCAGACTAAAAATGGGAATGAATTTGATTAAAAATGGGAACGAATTCGCCATGCCCAGAAACTCAGAGTAACTCGACCCAACTGTTCACTGGCCTGATCAGCGATTGCCAACCGTTATTCCCAGCCTTTGGGTAACCCTTTGTTCACCAAAGATCACACTTTGATAAATTTGCTGTGGATCATCTTCAAGGTGCCACAAATGTTTGGTGGGTTTGTGGATGTGTGTGTGTGTGTTGCTGCTTTGTTATAAACCTGATTTTGAAAATAGCCAATAAAAGCAGTTTCTCACTCTCCGAATATTTGCCCAGTCTGTGAGGCAGGGATCCCATCCACAGTCTGGACGTGGATTGCGTAGGGTTCATCGCAGATCTCGTTAGGGTATTCGTTTCGTAGATCGGTGAGGGTCTCATAATCTCCATTTCCTGAGGGGTTATCTCGGTCAAACCAAGGGGTTGTGCAATCTAAGGAAGGAAGAGTGACAAAGAAGGGCCATCTGACTCGGATCAGAGTTTTCAGGGAGAGGGTCAGGCATGGTCCAAACCAAAAGAACTGTAAGGCTGGAGTATAAAAGAGAGAAGGACTGATTTGTTGACTTCTTGACCGTTTTGCTGTTTTCCTCACTGAAGTCAACCGAAAGGATCAACAGCAAACAAACAACAGCCTTCAACAGACAAAAGAGAGGGGGAAACAAACAGTGCAGAGGAAGGACTCTCTTTGAATTTAAAAACTGGGGGGAAAATGATTGGTTAGGGATGGATAGACAGACAGTTGCTTCAAACCAGAAAAGTTTCTCCCAGTCACTCAAAATACAGGCAGGATGCAAATAAAACTCTAACGAGGGAGAGGAAAGGGAAAGAAAGAGATACTTCCACCGTGAAACCCACTGAAACCCTTCCAGGGCATCTCCATCTCTAAGTTCTGATTTCCTTTCTCTTGGCTATGAGTGACGTTTCCTATCCTCCCCCCACCCTCGCCATCTCCCTCCCTCTCTTACTTGGGAAATTACATTCAGTCTAGAACCAAAATTCAGTTTCAAATAGGGTCTCAGGCTGTTTCGGATTAACAAGAAAAGGTCAGACCAAGCTTTGGGGTTTGTTTTGGGTTTGGGCTTCAACAACAAGAATCCAGATCATGATCTCTGGCTCCGTCTTATGGCCACTTCTGATAAGGCATGTGAATTTTTCCCCCTTTTTACCAAGCTATGTATAAAGTTTGCTATTATCCACGGTTTTCAGCATCCACACAGGGGAGGACTTGGAACCCATCCCCTATGGATATATGGAGGGTTCCTACTGTACTTGTGTAACTGTGGAGAAAGAATAGCGAAACAGTTTCATGCTAAACCACCCACCAATCAGGATGTGACATTCGGTAAATGACCCAAACAAGCAACAGAAAAAGAAGTAAAAGATAGAGGTAGAGGTGACCCATTTGGAGGAGACAACCAACCCGCCAGCTCTACTCACCTGAACAAAAGTCTGGAGGGCAGATAAAGCGAACTCTGTAATCCTTGCATGGATCCGTTGACTGCTGACTATTGACACAAGCAAATCCATCCACGGTGTTGAACCTATCGCAACAAGCAAGAGGAAGATAGAGACATGCAATGTCACAGATGAAAGAAGAGGAGGGGCAACAGAGAATGCAATTGCCAAGAGAATTTGTAGGCATGGCCTTGACACCGGTGGAGATTCGTGCCTGGAAGTGCGAAAAGAAACGATGGAGGATCCGTGTTTGTTGGCCACGGTATGGGCGCAGTTGGGAACTTCCTTGGAGCAGGTATGCGCTCGCTCCTTCCAAATGCCATTCAAAGAGTTATTTCTAAGGACTATGTTTCCCAGAATCCCCACTCAACTATGGGATTCTGAATGTTGTGGCTGTGGAGGTATAGCCAAAGTTGCATCCACCCAAAGGTACGCTCTTTGTATACGCTTTGAAATTGGCCTGCAACCAACTTTAAACTTAAGAAGATGTTTGGCATCCTTTTTCATTAATTTTGGGGACATTCCTTTAATCATTCTTCTGCACTGCTCACAGATTAGCGGTACGTGCCTGAAGATGGGATTTTAATCCACGAAAGCTGGCATTAATTGTTTGATTTTTTTTAGTTGTTCAGTAGACGTGTCACATTCTTCTACACTTGTGTTATGACCCCACAGCTTCCTTCGGATTGTTTTTGAATCTTTCAAGCTGTATTTGTCGTGATTCGTACAAACAACAGAAGGAAGGGGCATTGTGTTTCCAAAGTTAGGTAACCGTCAATCATGATACCTAAGAGCACTATCCTACACTCCTTCATTATTGTCTTCTTCAGAGTGGAGGACAGAGGTTGGGAAAATGACCCTTTTGGACTACCAGCTCCAGAATCCTCTGTTCAACATGGCTGTGGGGGATTCTGGGAATTATAGTCAAATATAAACCTTTCCAGGCTCTGGGAAAGGACTACAGTAGGTTAAGGTTAGGAGGAAAAGAATCTGTTCTGGAAGAACTCGGGATTTATAGAAAGCAAACACCATAGTTTTATGCTAAGTGGCCAGGGCAGGAGAGGAATGAAGAAGATAATATTTTGGATTTACAGTCAGACCCCCCCCCCCAGGATCAGTATCTGCTGATTCACTTATCCACGGTCTGAGAACATTAAAAATATTAAAAGAAAATTTCCATATATATTGAAAAAGATACTCCCAGGTGAAGAGGAGAAATGTGGGATTTGTAGTGGGGGAAAAAAGTCCAAAATGTACCTTCCTACAAGTCACCTTAGACAGATGCTCTAGAGCTGACTTAGCATCACTCACGGGTTAAAGATTTGCCCAGTGGAAGATGCTGGAGCTCCATCCAAAGTTTGAGCTTCGATCCCGGTGGGTTGAAGGCAAATGAGTCCTGGGTATTCGTTCCTCAAATCAACGAGCGTTTCAAAGTCTCCCACTCCCGAAGGGTCGTCCCGGTCAAACCAGCGTGTGATGCAAGTTGCAACTGATGAGGAAAAGGAAGAGAAAGAGAGAGCCAGAGAGCAATCATCTGTGACATTTTGTTTTGGAAACAACGAATTTGGGGAATTTGTGAGAGTAAACGAATCTCCTTGAAAAAACCAAACCAGCGCCAGTATTTGCATTCAGAAAGTGGTTTCGCCCAAGCTGATGTGAACCAAACGAGGAAGGACTGCACGTGGGGGGTTTAAAGGCCATCTTTTCCACGAGTTCCCCTACGAGGTTTTCCAGGGGATTGTGTATTATGAGTTAGGGTTTCCTTACAAAGACAGCCTGGAGGCTAAACCACCCACCAATCAGGATGTGACATTCGGTAAATGACCCAAACAAGCAACAGAAAAGGAAGTAAAAGATAGAGGTAGAGGTGACCCATTTGGAGGAGACAACCAACCCGCCAGCTCTACTCACCTGAACAAAAGTCTGGAGGGCAGATAAAGCGAACACTGTAATCCTTGCATGGATCCGTTGACTGCTGACTATTGACACAAGCAAATCCATCCACGGTGTTGAACCTATCGCAACAAGCAAGAGGAGGATAGAGACATGGCTAGATGAAAGAGAAGGAGGGCAACAGAAAGTACAATTGCAAAGAGGATTTTTTGGCATGGCCTTGACACCGGTGGAGATTCGCGCCCCGAAGTGCGAAAAGAAACGATGGAGGATCTGTGTTTGTTGGCCACGGTATGGACGCAGTTGGGAACTTCCTTGGAGCAAGTACGCGCTCGCTCCTTCCAAACGCCGTTCAAAGAGTTGTTTCTAAAGACTATACTGCAAGACCAAGACCTTACAGACATCTCACCTGGAGAGAAAAGCCAACTGGCAGGCCTCATGGCTTGTGTAGTCCTAACTTCCTGTTTGAAAAAGACACTCTCAGGTGAAGAGGAGAATTGTGGGATTTGAAGTGGGGGGGGAAGTCCAAAATGTACCTCCCTACAAGTCACCTTGGACAGATGCTCTTGAGCTGACTTAGCATCACTCACGGGTTAAAGATTTGCCCAGTGGAAGATGCTGGAGCTCCATCCAAAGTTTGAGCTTCGATCCCGGTGGGTTGAAGGCAAATGAGTCCTGGGTATTCGTTCCTCAAATCAACGAGCGTTTCAAAGTCTCCCACTCCCGAAGGGTCGTCCCGGTCAAACCAGCGTGTGATGCAAGTTGCAACTGATGAGGAAAAGGAAGAGAAAGAGAGAGCCAGAGAGCAATCATCTGTGACATTTTGTTTTGGAAACAACGAATTTGGGGAATTTGTGAGAGTAAACGAATCTCCTTGAAAAAACCAAACCAGCGCCAGTATTTGCATTCAGAAAGTGGTTTCGCCCAAGCTGATGTGAACCAAACGAGGAAGGACTGCACGTGGGGGGTTTAAAGGCCATCTTTTCCACGAGTTCCCCTACGAGGTTTTCCAGGGGATTGTGTATTATGAGTTAGGGTTTCCTTACAAAGACAGCCTGGAGAAGAAGTTTCTTGGCCTACAATGCCCATATTCCCCCAGCTAACCAGGCCAGTATCCAAGGTGGCTGAAATATTCTGTATAAACTCAGTGTCCCTTTCAGAGGTATTGAAGAATAGCTAAAGGAATAGCAAATAAAATAAAATAGAAAACACGGGGAAAAAGCACACACACACCCATTATTTGCTATCCCTTTATTCATTTGTCTGCTTTCTGGCAGAGCAACTTTTGAACTTGATTGTGGAATCTTTGCTAAGACAGAGATTTTTTTTGATGGAAAACAGGCTTGTTTTTAGAAACCACACCGAAGGCTTGTGGTTCGCTGGTTCGCGTCAGTTCGTTTTTCGTTCAAATAGGTGTTTGGCACTTCATACATACATTATTTAAGCCCAAATCCTACTGTGTTGTGCAATCACATAAAAATCCCCATGCAAGTGATAGGAGAAAGTTTGCCATCATGGCCACCGAGTTGTGCAAACCTTCTTTACAGATTTTAGCTCATTAGCAGAAGGGAGATATTAGAATGATACAGAGTAGCCTCCTACAGCCTGATCTTTGAGACTACAAGTCCCATCAGTCCCATATAGCCAGCGGTCAAAAGGCTTAGCCTTCCCCTTTCCTTAAACAAACAAAGAAAAACCACACATCCAGATAAAAGGGATTGTCTAGAAATTTGGAAGACTTCTGGCTAGGGAGTTTGATTCCCCGCTATGCCTTTTGGGAGAATAACCAACCTGTGTGGCCTTAGGCAAGCTGCACAGTGCCAAGGCTAGATAGCTCAGTGGTTTAGGCATCTAGAGGTTGTGAGTTCAATTCCCCTCTGGGCCTCCTTGACAGGGAATGGACTAGATGACCCATTGGGTCCCTTCAAGCCCTGCAGTTCTGAGATTTATTAATTAAGATGCCCCCCCCCAAAGGGAATGGTGTATGAATTCCAAGTACTCTAGTTAGATACCCTATTATTATTAGAGATCTGGAAAGCCAAGGACTAACCAAGATGGAAGTTGGTCACCATAAATCTGTCTTGATCTGAAAGCACATCATCATCATCATCATCATTAGTAGTAGTAATAGTAGTAGTAGTAGCAGAAGAAGAGGAGGAAGAAGAAGAAAGGGAAGAAGAAGAAGAAGAAGAAGAAGAAGAAGAAGAAGAAGAAGAAGAAGAAGAAGAAGAAGAAGAAGAAGAAGAAGAAGAAGAAGAAGAAGAAGAAGAAGAAGAAGAAGAAGAAGAAATCTCTCATTCGATAGTCCCATCAAACTTTGCAAACTCCTGAAACAATTCTCTTGGTCACTGATCACAGAGACAAGGGAGAAATGACTACTTACCACATGCTGGAACAGCCAGGAGAGTCACGAGAAGCTGAGGAACGGAAGCAGAAGAAGATGCAAATTCCATTTCATGAACAAGATGAAGCAAGAATCCTCGTTCCCAACACCGCTTAGACAAGAGAGGTAACTACATGCACCAAACAGAAGAGGCAGAGCAGACCGAGCACTTTTGAAACATGCCCACCGCAGTTCAGGCTGATTTGGAGCCAGGTTGTTTATGTCTGATCCTAAATGTAACGTGCACACATTTAGAATCAGCAGCTGTTTTCCTATTTATTTTTAATTATAATTTTCTTATTTTTTTTTCCCTTTTCCATTTCAACAAACTTCAGAATCCTTTCCAGTCCTTGCCTCAGTTAAGCTATGAAATGGTAATATCGAGGTCAATGGAAGTTGGTGGCAGCCTATTGAAGCTGTAAGGGTTGAAACCCCTGGAGCATGCAACTCATGCAGGCAGAAGACATGTTGGGGTTGGAAAGATCATCATCATCACCAAGAACTACAGAGCTGAAAGGGACCCTATGAATCATGAAGTCCCGCCCCTCTCTCAAGGAGGCCCAGTGGGGAATCGAACTCTCAACCTCTGGCTCCTCAGCCAGATACGTAAACCAGTAATCTCAGCCAGGACTTATAGAGACTGTACTTAACAGAGACTTAACACAATTGATCCTAAGCAACAAACCTGCCATTTTTCAGGAGGACATATACACAACTGATAGGCAAAGAGTCTCCTAACATTTGACTCACCACAAAGCACAGTTGGAGCCTCCGCACCCTGATAAAACGTGTTCTAGGGTTAGAAGGCAGATTTATCAGTCACTCAGCTCCAACCTCACTGTCCCCTCTTTGGCTCACCACAAAGCACAGCTGGAGCCCTCCACACCCTGATAAAACGTGTTCTAGGGTTAGAAGGCAGATTTATCAGTCACTCAGCTCCATTCCTTCCTTCCCACCTCTCCCTTACTATAATGTTTAGACAGAAATTAACAAAATAGATATTATTGTGTTTTCCTTTTTTCTCTCCTGATTTTCTGCAACCTTTAGCAACGTTGCCTCAGTGTTAATTTTGTTTATGTTGGAACGGACTTTCTTTCATTTGGGAAGTGCCAGAATTAGACTGACAATACTTGGAAGTGATTGTTTAAAAATGCCCTGCTCTTCCGCCTTAAAATATCTACTCAGAAAGAGTTCCATGTGGCTTGCTCCCATGGAAACAATGGGGCTACAGCCATACTCTTCCTTCCAAGTTAAGCAAAATCAAGAGGAAACCTCACCCAGGTATTGGAAACATTACATTTCTGGATTCTTTTTGGGGATATTGTTGCAGCAAAAAATGACTAAGAGAGTCTTGTGACTCCTGAAAGCCTCATGAAGTTTTCGTTGCCATAAGGTTTCAGAGATGGTAACTCGTTTGAAGAAGTGGATCGAATCCCTGGAAATGCTCTTGCCAACTCTGTCAAGGTTCTAAGGTGCCACAAGACATTTTAATTTTATTTTTGATGCCAACTCTCAAACGGTATTCTGGGAGTTCAAGCAGCACCTCCCTCTTTCACTCACCATGCTTTGGAGCTTCACCATCGTTCGTTCTGGGTTGGTCAACGTCCTGCCTCTGTGCTCTGAATTTCTTTGAACCCAACTTAGGGGGGGAAAGGAGCAAGGTTTTATACACTTTGGGGGAGATGTCCTCCCGGTTCTACCCAGCGTTGGTCGGTTCCATCCTGACAAGCCACATAGCTGTTGCCATTGCAAGAAATACGAGATGGGTCTGCTTACAGACTCTACTGCCCGCAAGCTGAAGGTGGACAGAAGCTGGTTTGGACTTAACGACACAGAGAGAGCAGAATTAGATTAGTAATTCAAGCAACGTGAGGAATCTCCTTTCCCATAAAAGCCCCTTTCTATTTTGAGCACTGGAATGAGGAAATAGGTCTCAAAAGGGGGAAAATATATGTATATCCTTTCTCAACATTCAATCTTGGGCAATCAACCTTCGCAATCATGATGAAACAAAATGGTGGCTGAGGCCCTATTGGATGTATTCCCCCCCTCAGTAGCTTGCCTTTTGGCTGCTCCAAAAAAAGCCCTCTCTAGAGTGTGATGCCAGTGCAAGGCCATTTAATAATGCAAAGGGGTTTTTATTTTGTGCCTTTTAAAAACTTGGTTGGGTGGGGGTCTTGAAGGCCTTCAAAACACCCTCATGGGTCACAAGGGGAGCGAGCTGGGCTGCCCTTGGCCCACCGCTGCGTTAAATCACAGTTTAGCACAAAGCCTGAAAAGTTATTCTTCAAAAGTAATTGGTTCTCATGATCTGTTATCCTGTGTTTTGCTGTCACTCATTTCTGGGATTTAGAAGCAAACTCCTTAACGTTGCTAATTGGGCCACTTTTGTGAATCCTGAAGGGAGAAGAGCATAAAGCTTGAGCAGGTGCTTGTCAATACACCCCTCAAAGGCTCGTAAAGTAAACTAGTCAGAATTACTTATTACTGTACACTGATGCTGTATCTCCATTCCCTCTCATTACATTACTTTGAAAACGTAGCTTTGCTACACCTTCATTCCCCTGTCCTTCCTGCAAGTTACTCATTGCAGGGGAATGTATTACATCGAAATAGAGATGGGCACACACACAAAACCCCACAAGCCAAAGAAATCGACAAACCAGGCTGGCTCATCGTTCGTTTCATGATCCAGTTCAAGGATCCTGTTTTGCCAGAGCAAAACGAGCACCAAGCTTCCCCCCCCCCCTTTGCCTGTTTTGTTTGCTTCAGCAAAAGGGTTTGTTTCTCCTGGGGTTTGTGGTGGTTCGTGGCTAACCACGAACCGCTGGTTTTTCTAGTTCGTGCCCATCTCTGCATCAAAGTCATGAGCTTAAAACTCTGTTTTATTGTTCCGTCCAAACTTCACAAAAATCCTGTATTTCCTTTCTTCCAGAAATGTAAGTTTCGAGTCAAAAATGATTTTTTTTAAAAAAATACACATCTATTTTAGAAGCCCAAAGCCCCCAAAACCTTGTTTTACAAAGTAAAACTGCAGTTGACACTACTACCGTAGGATCCCTTTGATAAAGTAATGCTTTTCTGCTCCTCAAAAGTAATGCTTTTCTGTTCCTTAAAAGGAATCAGAATAGTTACTCTCAGGGCCTGAGGATAAGAAGAATTACAATTCCTTTATAATTCCTTTATTATGATCAAATGAACAGACCAGAATATGCTTCAAGACAAATTTTAAATGAACATGAACAAGTCTTTATTACTCAAGGTCATCACAATAACGAGAAATGTGTCATTTTTGGTCATAGGATTTCCCATCATTTCAGAGGAGGTGGCCGAAGATTTTCCCGCCCTTTTAACCAAATCATTACTAATATTGTAAGCTAAGCTTACATAATATTTTATTGCTGAGCTAGAGTGGAAACTCCACAAGAAATGATCCATTCCTACACCTAGAATGAATATATATTCATTCTATATACTGTATATATTAATCTGGCAGTGCCGGGACAGACAAAATAGTTTTCTCTTCCTTGCTTAAGGAAAAAAAAATCAGGTTTATTCATTTATTTAAACTATTTTTACCCAGCCTTCCTCCTTTAAAGTACCCAAGGTGGCTTACATCATTAAAAAGACAATATTTAAAAGCTAAAAACAGTAAAGGATACAAATATTTAATAAGAATTAAGCAAATATTATATTAAAATGGTAAACACTATTCTTATTGCAAACTAATGCAGCAGCTACGAGGGACAAGAAGCGAGACATCCATTCATTTCACAGCGGCTGCCTTTTGTAGACCATGTGGCAACAGATAGACTGCAACATTGCAAACAATATATATATACTGTAAGTTGAACATAATCATCTTAGAACTGGAGAGTTGGAAGGGAATCTCTCTCTTTCTCTCTCTGTCTGTCTGTCTGTCTGTCTGTCTGTCTGTTTGTCTGCCTGTCTGTCTGTCTGTCTGTCTGTCTCTCTCTCTCTCTCTCTATATATATATATATATAC